AATATTTTTCTTGGTTGTGGTTTTGGTCTACTTGGAAAGAGCAGAAGCAGCCAAGTGGCTTTAAACAAGTCCTAATGTCCTGGGCCTGTCACCTAAGGCTTTACCTGATACAGAACACATAGGCTGCCGGGGCTCCGGTCGCCTGGCTTCGAGTTTCTTCTTCAGGGACCATATCTGCCTTCTGTGAAAGTTGCAAAGGAGCCCAGCTGGGAGCCCAGCGATGCTAATGATAAGGTCTGGGGCTGCTGGGGGTATCACGGGGATTCAGGCATGTCATCTGTTCGAGAACTAACTCCCGCCGCCGAAGGCAGCAAAGCAGCTCCAATCTTGGGCTGGGCCCAATGCTCGGGGCTTAGTTAGAGCCAAATGAAAGCGGGCAATTATCATGTTCTTTAACTATAATCAGCCGAACAGGATATAGGTAGCCACAAAATGGAGTTATTTAAAAGAGTAACAAAATCACTTCAAAAGGGGTAATAATCTGGAAGTCTCTCTTTCTGTAACGTCTAGTTAGAGCTGAGTGTGGAGAAGGCCAGGAAGGCGGCTCTGGGACCCCTCGATGCACCGGGACCAGGGGCGCATCCTGGGGAAATGAAGGCAGGCGCCCTGGCCTGCAGGCCACCCTGGGGCAATTGAGTTCATCCCCAACCTGTAAACTACAGCCTTTGAACAGGATCCCAGGAGAATCCTGAGCTTCCTGACATCTGGCTGTCAGGGTGGTCACAAGGGCAGGGGCTGTTACCAGCAGGCCAGCTGGTCCAGCCTGGCCCAGTGACACCACAACAGCCCCAGTTTGGGTTGAAAGTTGACTCTGGACATTGGTTATGAGACCTTATCTTGGGCGGCACTTCCTGTGACATTCCAAGGAGACCCTGGGATGGGGCGCAGGGCTGAATTCCGAGCACTTCCTGGAATGTGTCCGAGCTGCTGCCGAGCAGAGTGAGGTGGGGACAGCTTGGCCCGTCGAGTGCTGGTCCTGCCACTAGCGAGGGATGTGAGCCTGATGAGCACATGGGTCAGGATGGCTGTGGTTTGGTTTGCTCTCTGGGAAGGGTTGATTAGAATCTACCTTGCAGGGACATGTTTAGAAGAATATCTTGCTCTTGGTTACTGAATAGAGGTGGACAGGTATTAGCTGTTGTTGCCATGACCCTCAGCGAAGAAGCCGTGGACAGAAGCCCCTGCACCATCTCCTGATAACTCCAGCGCAGCTTCTGTTCCGCAGTAACGCGCGGGTTTTACACTGTGTCATATGTACCAGTGAGCTGAGAAAATCAGGAGGCCTGTTCGTCCTCCAGCCAGCTGGAGAGAGCCTGAGTCAATTCCCATTGCATTAAACACCAACCCTATTAATTAATAAAGGCAGCGAAAACCATACTCGTAAATCACAACAGCAGCCGCAGCCCTGCCCTCTGTTGAATGATCCTTCTGTATCATGCGCTGGGCTAATTGCAACACATATGTCACCACAGTTAATCATCACAACCACCCTGTGAGATGGCCATTATTCTCAACATTTGACAGATGAGGAAACTGAGGCATCAAAAGAGTAAAAAAAAAAAAAACTAAAAACAAACCAACAAAAAAACATTGTTATACATAGATGAGCTAGGATTTAAGCTCTGGTGTCAAAGTTGGCATTTTAGCCTGGCCGGTGTGGCTCAGTGGATTGAGCATCGTCCCATGGACTGGGAGGTCCCAGTTCGATTCCCGGTCAGGGCACGTGCCCAAGTTGTGGGCTTGATTTCCAGTGGGGGGGGAGGGGGTGCAGGAGGCAGTCGATCAATATATCGCTCTCAACCAATGTTTCTGTCTCTAAAAGAAATCAATAAAAACATGCTTAAAAACAAAAAAAAAAGTTGGCATTTTAACAATTAGGTCACATTGCTGTCCGTTGGGCCTTTGGGAACAGTGTAACTTGAAATGCTAACAATGAAAAAATTGGACCTGTCATAAGGATCCGAACAGGCCTGGGACACTACATCGCATATCTCAGTATATTTTCCCAGGCCTGATCATTTAACCCTCAGAATTTTTTTTTTTTTTTTATCCTCACCTGAGGACATTTTTCCATTTTTTGTTCAGGTAGAGTGGGAGGGAGAGAGACGAAGAGAGAGAGAGAGAGAGAGAGACATCGACGTGAAAGGGACACATCGAGTGGCTGCTCCCCGCACCACCCAACCAGGGCCGGGGACAAACTGCAACCGAGGTACGTGCCCTTAGCGGGAACCGAACCCGGGTCTCTCCGGACCGCAGGCTGACGCTCTAACCGCTGAGCCAAACCACCCAGGGCATAACTCTCAGAATATTTCTGTGAGCCATTTTATAAATGAGAAAATGAAGCCTCAGAAGAGAGCAAGCAACCTGCTCAAGACGCGGGATGCATGGCAGGAGCCACCCCTAAGACCCAGGCCCGTGGTCGACGGGACACGCACGCTCCCTCCGCGCACGCCGCCTCACCCAGCCCTGGCCCAGGCTCCCTCTGTGGCGACAGATGGGCAGTAGGAGAAGAATGAAGCCAATGATAACTTTTACCAAATCCTAGAAAGCCCTCCAGGGCCCCTGCGGAAATCCCCTGGACGAGTGTGCCAACTGGCTGGCATGGTGGGCCAGGGGGACCACCTGCAGTTGTCCACGCTGGTCCACAGTTGATTCTGCGCCTGGGTCCGGGCTGTCGGTGATTTCTGTGAGAAGTGTGTCTGCGGACTTCCCCGAGCCGGATACTGGACTGCCCAGGCATTGCTAGCATGGCACTGAGTACGTTCCACTCGGCTCTGTGTCATTTCGGGGGGATTCCTGCGGGGCCAACTCCTTGCCGTCGCGGAGAAGTTCTCGCAGCATTGCATGCGGACGGGTCACCCGGCGGCTGCTGGGCAAGGAGCTCGGAGGTGTCGCTCCTTCGGGCGCCCAGACGAGTGGGCAGGAGACCTGAGAGGAAGGATGGGATGCAGGGCTCCTTTGGGAGAAGTGTTTGCTCCATCTAAAAGCTGTTGCCTTGCTACCGGAAACTGCTACTATCCTTTACTTCGTAAAATTGTGGATGGGAAGTGAAAATATCTGGAACAATTATACAGTAGAGCTTCTGAGTGTGGGTCATAATTAGCACAGAAGCTATACTTTGATCACCAATGGAAAAAATTTCCATGTTCTTGTTTCATTAACTGCACTGTTTTCAAAAGTAAGAGGATGCTCACTATTGTGGTAGTGGGATAGGAATTACAACCAATGGGCCAGCCAGTTTCCAACAAATTGTCAAAGTGCTGGGCGTATGTTGGTCCAGGCGTGTCTCTAGTGCTTGAGAGGGACCGAGGATCCTGCTGTTCCTCAGTCCTAACTGGCCCTTTCTGGTTCTGCTCACCTCAGTGGTTCCGCCTGGGGCCCAGAATCCAGTTCAGAACAGCATCTTCTCTGTGGAATACCCTGGTCCATGCACATTATCTTTGACAAGCCAAAATGACGGTCCCATCAATGTGGGGGCTTCTCCTATTCCCTCACCCCCCACCCCAGTACCTTTATTCCCTTTATTCTTCTGTTTCCAAGTGTTACAGACCAGAATGAACGTGTCCAGCCAGCACCAGCAGAACCAAACACTAAACACAGAGTTGCAGTGGAGAAAGATGGGCTATTTAATTAGGAATGGCACCACCCAGGAGAACGGGAAGCCTGAACTCCCCTGTTTGGGGTTCAAAATGGGTTTTTAAGGAAACGGGCAAGTTTTATTTTATTTTATTTTTCTTTATTGATTTTATAGAGAGAGGAAGTGAGAGGGAGAAAGAGATAGAAACATCGATGAGAGAACATTGATGGGCTGCCTCCTGCATGCCCCCCACCAGGGATTGGGCCCACAACATGAGCATGTGCCCTGACCAAGAATCGAACCAGCAACCTCTTGCTGCATGGGTCGGTGCTCAACCACTGAGCCACACTGGCTAGGCATAGGGGCAAGTTTTAATTGGAGGAACATGGAATTTGGCCTTGTATGGAGAGGCATCACTAGGGGATCTTCTCAGACAGTGGACCCTCTGCTTCTGAAAGGGTTCCGGTGCTCAAGTTCCAGTTATGCCTTAGTCCTTTGGTTCCTTGGGAGGTGAGGCTGGGGGAGACTTGGGTTCAGGTGCAGCTGGAGGTCAAAGTTCTCTCCTCTGTGCATGCTTTGGCTGCATGATGAAAAGTCTGTTGTCTCTGAAAAACAACTCTGTATCTTGTTAAACAGAATAGGACAATTCTGAGCTGGTTCTGTAGTTACACAAGAGCAAAACAACTGTGTCTTCAGTCCTGGACTTTGCCATGGTTCTGGTGTGAGGACTGAAAAAATATGCCTTTCCCCCCACCGTCAATGTTCTTCCAGCTGGGCTACTCATCAAAGCAACAGAGAGATTAAAGGAGAAAATGTCCAAAGTTGATTACACAGGTGTACATTCAGGGGTCCATAAGAATATGACATGAAACACATTAGACAGTTGAGGTTTATATGCCATTCTGGCCAAAGAAGAGGGGACAGGGGTTTCGAAGGGGAGGTAGGTAATTCACAGGAAGCCAAGACAGAAAGAACACAAGACAACTTGGTGCCAGGCAACCCAGAAACAAGGAAACAGAGGTTCTCCCCTACAGAACAGGTTTTGCGTGGATCCTTCCTGTGTACCACACCAGTTCACACAGGCTAAGGTGAGATACAAAGCTGAAGATGCTGAGATCCCCTCCCAGAGCAGGCCCTTCCCTCTGAATGCCCTTCGGCAGGAAAGGGGGAGGGCCAAAGTTTCTTTCTGAATCATTTGTCTCTTAATAAACAGCTTAAAATCAATATCCCAAAAGGCACATTTTGGGAGTGGCAAAACCTTGGTCCCCTTCGCTGGCGTGTCATGCTTCTCAGGCCTGCTTTCATTGGTGTTCACCACTGCTACCTCCGATGGTAGTTAGTGACTGTCTGCCTTCCGGGGCACAGTACCGTTTGTTCCTGTGTGTTCCCACTTAGTGACGCTCCTTTCTGTTCTTTCCCGTAGAATCACCCTGTACGACTACCAAGCCATGTGTAGGGCCAACAAGGAGAGCAGTGACTCCGCCCACGGTCTCCTGGACGTAAGTACAGCACCCCCCCCCCCCCCATGCACGTGTTTGTCTCCGAATGAGCAGATCTTTTCCTTCGGAGTCATCAAGTCATCTTTTCAAAACCACGAATGTTGAAAAGTATTTGCTAATGTCCTGGTTGAGCGAAGTCACTTCTGTTTAAACCCAAATTCAGTGATTGCCGGAATGACAAACATCTAAAGTCTTTGATGGATTCATGCAGCAGCCCCCTTTTGATGGATAGGAAAGGGGAGGAGTTTTGAGGATTCTCATATTCTTATATAAGAGAGGATTTGGTTGGTTCAACAGAAATCTTCCTTTTGGTTTGTAATAGAGCTGTTAGCCTGTGAGCAAATTCCCATGTTGATGAGAGAGTCTCACCTCTCATCGTGCTGCCGCTGAGTTTCAACACGTTTTCCTGGAGCTGTTTCCATGGCTGATGCCACAGCTGAGGATCCATCAACAGAGCTATCGGAGCATTAGAAAATGGCTTTCTGATGGCCGGAGATTAACCGCTACTATTTCCTCCCATTTTTAAAATATCATTTACAACGTGCAAGCAATGTAAGTTTGGCCACCAATCACTTGAAGAACACGCATACAAAAACAAAAACAACAACAAAATTCCCCACCGGATATAGATACTAATATAGTCCGGCATAGGTATATAAACATAGCCCTTATATGTTATTATTCTGTAAATTCCAAAAATTAACCTAAAATTTGGTTTGAAACACAAAATTTAAGAGTCATTTTGGTTTTAAAATATAAATACACACCTTCTCATTTGCAGATGTCCAATTTTGCAAGGGGGTTATTTAAAAACTAAATATTTAACATGGTTCCCATACACTGAGGGCACAAGAAATGATTAGAAGCTAGAACGTTTTTGAGAGGCAACTAGGAACTAAGAACTGGACATTTTGAAAACACTGCTTTTTAGTGAGCATCAGCCTTTCTTTCTAAACCCAACTTCCCTAACCTTAGCATGACTATTTCCAGATTTAAAATGGTCCCAAGATAGGTTTTGATCTAGGCTTAAAAGCTCAATAGCTTTACCATTCTAAATGATAATGTGCATTTAAATTTTTTAATCCCATATTTACATAATCCATTTGTTTACCTTACATTGAAAAGGTGTCTGGCAGGAAATGCTGGAGTGTTCTTCCCCTTGGCCTCAGGGTGAGCTGTCCCATGCCTGCCCCCCGCCCCCAAAGCCTCCTGAATCCCTTTCTTCCTCTGGGACTCACACCACCCTGGCCACTGAAATGTCACTCCCCCTCCCAGCAGGTACAAGGACACAGAACTGTCCCATGATCTGATGACCTGAGTCATTTTGAAAGAAAGATGATTATTTTTCAAGCCCTAAGAATTGTAGTGGCAAAACCAAAGAACTACAAGGTTGCATTTGGTTTTAGGAAATAGTGAATAGTTCATATCCTTATCTGACCCTTATCCTGAGGGCCCTTCGATTCAGAAAATGCTGGCGAGATGCTCCTTCGAACCAGAGACAGAGATCCAGTCTGAAATCTGAGTGGGCTGGTAGTAACCCGAGTAGATTTGTGTTGTTCTGTTTATTTACTTGTTGGCTTGAAATAGGGACGTTTTTAAGAATGGTTAGTGGTATATAAATTGGTTCTTGTTTTATTTAAAGCTGGATAATCCACCCCGGCCCCCCCATTCCTAGATCTAGTCTTTATCATCAAAATGCTTAGAAGGTAGGATTAACCAGACCCCACTTAAGAAACCAGGATTTGGAATTTCAATTCTCTGATATCTAAATGCAACCACAAAGGATTCTGAGATTTCTCTGGACCTGCCATCTGGAGCCCAGGCTTTGCCCATGTCTTTGCCTGTCTTTCAGATCTGCCCACCACACACATATCTGACATACCTAGGTACAAAGAACTGACTGAGGGGGAGACTTGGTATTTTCCAGAATCCAGGAAATTGAATTATCCACATAGGAAATATCACAGAGTAAACAATCCAACTGCTTTTTTTTAATTAAAATATTCTGAAATAAAGATTAGGCTGTCAATGCCTTCTTTTATAGAGTGAAAGGGATTTTCTGCAAGGATAAAATCACATGTTTATATGGTTATCATTTTTTCAAGTCCAAATATGTATGTGTGAGAAAAGGCAGCTTAAATCCTACATAATTCATGGGCGGCATTAAAATCAAGTGTATGCAATTTTTGCTTATTTCCATGAATGACACACAGTGATGGTGAACAGGGAATCACCTCTCTGAGAAGCAGCCTGTAAATTACCATTTGAAATTAGTTATATGATTCCAGCTCTTCAGTATTAGGCTACAAAATATTAGCCCCTAGAGGGTAAAGTTTTAAGCATCCTTTGCTGAACTCCCTTTTTCCTCCTGGAGATAACCCTGTATTAGATCATGTTTATTTTACTTGTAAATCACATCTCACTACAGGGGAGTTCAAAGTTTTAAAATGTTAGTTTTGAGTTACAGTATCCAACCATTCTCTTCTTTTAGCTCCAGCTTCACTGGTTTTTAATATGATATCAATCTCTCTTAAAGAATAACATTGTCTTTATGTAAAGCCTTAAGTTAAACTACAAATTCGGTGTGTGATACACTGTTTTTGAATGACCTGGATTCTTCTCTTCAGCCTTATAATGCCTTCCTTGCTGCGGCAAAATGGATAATGACAGAACTGGTCTTGTAAGTACAATGGCTACACTTAAAAAATATGGTTGCTTTTCTTGTATATTAGTAAGTGAATGGGAGACTCTCCTTCATGCATTCAACATTAGATTCATAATACTCTGAGATAATCTCATTTAAAACCTCGAAATATTGAAAGTGGAGATCAAAGATGATATATTAGTTATCCATGGTCACTGCTTATGCCCTTATGTCATTGCTTAGCAGACTAACTGCTTGCAAAACACACACCAAATTTATTTATTGTGGTTACTGTTAAATTTAACATAGATGTCTGGCTGTTTTTCATACAGCCTGGGTGGGCTGTGGTCAGAAGAACAAATTGCCAGGGCTGTCCACTGTGCTACTTGGGATGCTACATGTACAGGGGCAGGGCCTGTGCAGTCAGGGGCCACAGGCTGGGGCTTTTGTCAGGTGGGATTTAATTGTTTACCCTGTCAAATGTCGGTCCTGTTGGGAGGGTGCTGGAGGCATCTGTGACCTAGGTCACCTTGAAATGGCACAGAGATGAAAGGCTTGCCTTGCAGATGAGATATTGGACACATTACAGAAACACCGCACCGGACAGAAGGAGGAATTCCATGCGTGGCAGGGAAACCAGACCCTCAAAGCTGCACCGAACTCTCTTGTTCTCACTTTCCCCACTGAGGTTCCGGTTCTGTGGATTTAGGGCAGCTTTCTTGCCATTTGATGAACAGATGTTGTCTTCTCTATTGCTTTAATGTAACCTATATTAATTTAACAACTTACAAATTCAAGTGAGGAGTAGGTTCTGCGTGTACACAAGAAACAGAAAACACAGGAACAGATAACAGTGGGATTTCGATCGAGAGTGAGTTGCTAGAGATAGTCACTGATTCCTGAAAAAGAAATGGCTGCATTTTGGTCTGTCTCCATTCATCTGGAGGAAGACTCATATTACTTTCGCATTCTTTTTGAGCAATTAGGAATTTCAATTTTTTGAATTCGCACTGTGGTCTCATCTCATAAAGAGAAGTTTGTCCCATCCGCCCCGACACACACCGGCCATACACGTGGCTGAACAAGCTTGCGTTGCGGCGTGACTTCTGAAAGCTTCCTTTATTACTGCAGATCATAGTCTAGTAGAGAATATTCTATTTGCATTTCCGAACCTAGGCAGGGGAAGTCCTTTAGAAGTTGACTTTTTGCTGTGGACTCAGATTATAACTAGAAACGATTTCTGCCTGTAAAGCGGAATGTTTCTCAGCAGAGTCCTTGAGTCTAGGTAAACCTGAGTTCAGGGTTTCGTTGGCATTGGTGACAAAATCGCCTTTCACAAATTAGGTGAAGCCCAGGGCAAGTTTGGTGGTCACTGAACCAACCAATTCGGTATTTCCAGGCTGAGATGCTGTTCTTGCAGACCAGGTGGGCCGTGCTGGGTAACACGATGCCGCTGAGCCATTCAGGTGCGGATGGCCAAGTAACATCGGGTTTTTCTATCCCCTTTCAGGTTCCTGGTGGAATTTAACCTCTGCAGTTGGTGGCACTCAGATATGACAGCTAAAGGTAAGCAGCAGCTGGCTTCTGTTTCCTAGTTCAGAGCGACAAGCCCGGGTTCACTGGCTACTTTTCATCAGGGATGTGCTCACGTGAAACTGCTCAGTGCAAAGTGATGTTTTCAGCCCTCAGAAAGAGGCACCCTTTGCGCTGAGCGGAGCACCATGCAGTCTGACGAAAATGCTGCAGCCTCAGCCCATGGTGACCATACGCTCCGCCTTGTCCTGACGAAGGCTCTGAGGTCATACATCGCGCAGGCGAAGGCCCCTCGAAGTGCCTGGACAGTGCTAACATCCAAGGGAGACGGACACATTGCCTTCTCAGGCTGAATGAAGAGATAATGAGTCTGCTTTGTTTTGCTTATAATTACCTTCATAAGTTATAAATCTAACCATTACTTTTCCTGCTCTCAAACCTTCCATGACTTGAGCAGTAATTAGGAGAAGCTCTTAGCGGCATGGGCTGTGGAGTTAGATCAGGATGGGCTTGAGTCCTGCCTGCAAGGTTGGCCTTTGGCAAGTCAGCTGATGTGGGCGAGGCTCAGTTTCCCCACAGTAAGAAAAATAGGAAAATAATACAATAATATGCATCTCCTGTTATTTGTGCGTGTGTGTGCGTGCGTGTGTGTATCTAATGGTGAGATACATCACGTTAGATGCTGAGCACAGAGACTGGAATATAGTAAACTCTCGAAAAGTGATAGTTTGCAATTCATTCGCAATAATGGTGAAGACATTGTTGACAGTGGTGACTACTGAGTCCCCTCCAAAACGAATGCTCTGTAGTGTGCTGTCTCCCAGTCTTTTCTCCGCCTGTCTGGTTACCAGCTGTTTCTCAGATGCACTCTGCTCTTTCCTCTGTGTAGTTACTTATCTTGATTGTTTTTACCTGGGAAGCCAGGCCTGCTAGCTGCTACCGTTATCGCTATTTGAAATGACCTGTCATGTAAAAGGGATGGATCAGTAACGTATCAGCATTGCCCCAGGTGCCAATGTCTTTCATTGCCTCTCCCTTCCCTGAAGAACCCGGCAGTGAGGATTCCCTCATCTTCCCAGGAAGAAGGAGCAATTGCCTTGGCTCCTGTCCCCCTGCCAGCTCACACTTCCCAGCTCCTCCGCATCATCCTAGCTTCAGTTTGTTTGTTCTGCACACTAACCTAGAATTTCTTAATGGCAGGGGCTATGCGTGAGCCATTGTTATTCCTCAGGCCCTAGCAGGTGCTTGGCTCTTTGTTGGTGCTAGATCTTTGCTTCCTACCCACCCTGTTTTATTTTTTGCCAGGTATGAACATTATAGACACTGTCATCGTAGTTTTGTAACTTACACATAGGCCCATGGTGCCCCAGTGCAGGAACTCACTACTTCCCTGTTGGAATATGAGATGCAGCAGTATGTGCAGAGTTCTAACCATGCGGACGCCAGCATGGTGACCAAGGTGCTTCAGGTGGCTCTGTCCTGGGAAGCTGACTGCCCATGGACCAGGTCTAGGGGCTCTGCTTACATCCCCACACACGCTGTCTGGCGACCCTACAGGCATGGGCCTGATCCTTGCCCCTTCCTGAGGGTTGGTACCATCTTCGAATGACAGCAGTTTGCCCATCATCCAACTTCCGGAAACCCAGCTAAGGAATTAAACTGAGATGCCAGCAAAGAATTCTATGTAGGGTGAATTCATGATTGCAAATACTGTACTCTTTAAAAGATGAACAATAGGGACATTTGAATATAAATTAGAGCCCATCCATAAACACATATAACTTTTTAAAAGATTCTGTTTCTGAAAACCTCTTACCAGGTTCAAAAATGCTCATGACATTAAGCAATATAACAAGAAAAACAATATGCAAAACTGTATATAGCCCTGGCTGGTTTGGCTCAGCAGTAGAGCATTGGCCCACAGACCAGTGAGTCGCGGGTTCAATTCCAGTCAAGGGCATATATCTCAGTTATAGTTCATCCCCCACCCCGGTTAGGGTCGTGCAGGAGGCAACTATTCAATGTGTCCCTCTCACATCGATGTTTCTCTCTCTCCATTTCTCTCTCTCTCTCTCCCTCTCTGTCCCTCCCACTCTATCTGAAGATAAAGAGAAAAATATCCTCGGGTGGATTTAAAAAAAAACAAAAACCGTATATACCCCTAAAAAGCATTCAATGGTGGGAGAGGAGAGTAGCATTAAATGGAACCAGCAGCCCGTATACCAATGGCAAGTCAGTGAGCAGAGATCAAAATATGAATTAGAAAGAGAAGACTCTCATGTACCCCAAAGGAATATGTATCTGTGGCATGAGCTTGCTTTTCATTTAAAATGGCCTATGATTTGGGGAAGAGAGATGAGACAGAGCCTACTAAATTATTTCTAATTTTTTTATTTGACAAACTTTTCCACAATTTCACTATTAGTGGCAAAAAGTAAAGATAAATGAGATTACAAGAGAGAAAAGGAAGATCAACAGAAGCTGAGAAAATGGATCGCAAGTTGGATGAATGGCTGCTGTCTCTGGAGCACCGGAGCCCAGGGGACCAGTCAGCACCCCTCACGGTCAGGCTGAGCTCTGGGAGGTGGTTTCCCTGGAGATGAAGTGCCAGCCAGGCAGCCTTCCTCTGCCACTGTCTGCTGTGAGGTTCTGGGTAAATCATTTGATCCCCTTAGGCTTTGATTTCCTCATTGGTCAACAGACAGCGGTAGACACAACGTGTTTGTGGGCGAGGGAGTGACCGGTGTATGCAAGGTTGGCAGGTGCGCTGTGGGTGCTCCCGTTCTCGTGGTGGTGAGCTCTTTGGCTAAGGGGCCGGGCTGTTAGGAATGTGCCCAGTGCCGAGGGCAGTGGGCTGGTCGTCTTCTGTGGTTTGGTTTTGGGCATTCCTCCACAAACCATGTGCCTGTCTGTCCCTGGCCGAGGGGCTTCGATGGCGCAGATGAAGATGCTCTCCTTCACGCCAACCTCCATTCCCACTTCCCTGTTCTTCCCCCAGGCCTGCGTTCCTTCCTACACCTGCCGCCACAGGCGTCGGCCCGTGCTCCGGTTCTGGTCCTTCAAAGCTACAATTAGTTTTTGAGACTCTTTTGAGTACCGATCACTGTGATTTTTGCCTAAGCCAGTAGTTTTCTCCGTGGGAGGGATTTTGCCTCCCACAGGTCCTTGCAACATCTGTAGACATTTTTGATGGTCACGCTGAGGATGGAGTTGCTATTGACATCAAATGTAGAGGTCAGGGATGCCACCAAACAGGCTCCTACAACATGCAACTGCTAACAAGAATTATCTAATTCAAAATATCAGTAGAGTAGCCCCCCCTTATCTGCAGGGGATATATTCCAAGACCCCCAACGGATGCCTAAAACCGTGATATTTCCAAACCCTACCCGTACTATGTTTTTCCTATACATACACCCTACAGTAAAGTTGAATGTCTACATTAAGCACATTAAGAGCTGAGTAACAATAACTAGCACTAATGTAGAACAATTGTAACACTATACTGTAATAAAAACTAGGCGCGTGTGGCCTCAGATGACCAAGCTAGCTATGGAGCGGCTCACAGCTGCAGCCTGCCCAGCGTCCTGCGCCTGACACAGGGACGACTCCTGTCCCAGGTGAGATGGAGCAGACCGGGTGAGATTTCAGCGCGCTGCTCAGAACGTCTGAATTCTTTATCTCTGGATTTTTCGTTTGGTATTTTCTGACTGCAGTTGACCGAGGGTAACTGAAACCACAGAAAGTGGGTTCTCAGGTCAGGGGGAAACTACTGTGTTGCTATGTTGAGAAACCCTAGAGCAGACCAAGGGGTGTAGGGTGGGGGACGAAGGGCTTTGCACTCATGATGGTGACAGACCCTTATCCAGGTTCCCAGTCGGAAATTTCACGTCCCCTCTCCCCTGCCTCCCTGTCCACCAGGACTGACAATGGGCAGCGCTTTAGCCCCGAGGACGACAGCGATGCTGCCGTGCTCTGTTTCAGGCAGTTTATCTCTGGACCGCAGGCCGATGCTCCAACCGCTGAGCCAAACCGGCCAGGGCTCAGGCGGTTTATAAAGAGATCCTTAATAGATCATTTCCACTTCTCTCAGTCCATTGCCACGCCCTGGGACCTTTCCCCACAGATCTGGATAAGACCTTGTCAAAGGACTAGATCGCTGACGCATGGTGCGCCCGTACACAGTGCTTCTCCATGTCCAGAGCGCTGGCACTGGATCATCTTCAGGTCCCTTCAACATACCCGAGAGGTGGGGACTGCTGAACCCTGTCACCGAGCCTTTCTGAGGCACCTAAGACAGACAGCTCACAGATAATGGGCTCAGACTTGAACAGCGCTGAGAGCCAGCTGGCCACCTGGGCTGCTGCGCCTGGGCTGTCCCATTCAGGTCCAAAGCCCTCTGCTGGGCATGGCTGTGGCTTTTCCATTTCACAGTGGAAGAAACGGAATAAACCCATCCGTGGGGCTGCTAGCGTACGGATATCTTTGTTAAATGTAACTCTTAGACCCGGTTCAGCAGAGAAAGTTCCAAGCACATAACTACAGTGCCTTGTAAGGTCTCTTCATTCTAAATGTGCCATTCCCTCACGAGCTAAAGACCCTGCACTGAGACATACATCTTTGTTTCGCTAAAAATGGAATCCATAATTACACTGTTTATCTGCTTCATTTCCTTAATGAAGGGGACTGTGGCCGCCCATTTCTGCCGGAGCATCACAAAGGTATCATTTGGGCGAAGCTGCACAAGGAGAATGAGGCTGGCCGGCACCCGGTTATGAATGAGGGCGCATTCACAGAGACAAAAGAAGAGGCCAGCTTTTCAAACGGCAACTCTATTCATTCCCAGTTGTCTGCACATAATTACTGTGAACCCAAGTCAGTTATTCTATCAGGGACATTTGTTGCTAAGGTAAAATTAAAGATATTCAATTGTGTGGGTGCTTCATTGTGAGTGAGTGATGGGTCATGCGGCCTCAGCTACAGGCGTCCAGTGTGCATGGGGTGGGAGAGAGAGGGTGCGACGGCAGAGTGTAGTAGGCTCCAGGATGCGGCCGTGGTGTGTGTCCGGGCATCACTACTCCCAGCAGTGTGACTTGGGCAAGCATCCTCATTGTCTGAACTCTGGGGTCTTCACCGTGAAACAGGTGCAGCAGGGCTTGGCCCCCCGCATGATGGTGAGGGTTCCACGCATGCAAAGGGCCTCCGAGGCGTTTGGCATGTGGTAAGCTCTTAGGGAGTGTTGGCCGTGACAGTGGCAGAGGTTTTGCTGTTTAAGTAATGGTCGTGACGCGTCGTCACTGCAGAACTCAGGGCAGGTGCGTCTGCTTTCTGAACTCCGTTCTCCCTTCTGGAAGAAGAAGAACCAGCCTACTGGGCTTCCCCCTTGTAAGATAAGGAGTTTAAATGCCTACGAGTTAAAATAGTACTCATTACGTTGTTGGAGGCCGGCGCTATTGGCCTGCAATTTCTAATGTAGATAGTAAAGACTGGCAAATAGATGTGGTGTTTTCCAAAGTATTCCAGACAAAGAAAGATCGTCATAATAAACCATGTTATTCAGATTAAACGTGGCTGTGGTTTTATGTGATAATTCGCGTGTTTCCCCGGAGCTCACCAAGCAACCTCCTGCCAATCCATAGTCGTGCTGCAAATAGACTCAACGGTTTATCACCATATACGTTTGGGTGCCCTACAGTTGTCAAAGGAACAAACATTTCTTCTCCAGGAAGGATCAGAGCCAAATGAGTCTCGCCATTGAATGTGTTGGACTCGTTCCCTTGTAACTGGGCCCAGACAATTAGAATTAGAGATGGTGCAATTATCAGGCTTATTTAAATCACGTGCGCTGCCTCGCTCAGCCTGCCCCGAAGACCTTTCTTCCTTTCGTTCACTGGCCAAACTTCACAGAGCAGTTAAATATATACGTGCTGGAGCCAGACAGCCCAAGTTCAAAGTCTGGCTCTGCTGCACACTTCGCTGGAGGAAGCTGGACCATTTTCTCAGTCCGCTCCTCTCCTCACTAATCTGCAAAAGAGAGATAACAATTGTTTCTACCCCACAGTCGGTGTCTTTTACTCTGCCTTGTCTTACTGCTAAAGGAACGCATCTATGCCAAGCAGAACATCAGCTGGCACAGAGTAGTTTCTTAATAAATGCTGCTGCTTCCATCACTAGGTTCTCAGGTGCCATCTGCAGGCTTGTGTCCCCGGCCTGAAATCTGTGCTATTGTTTCCTTCGTCTTTAGTTCACTTTACGGGACTCATTTCTTGACATTTAAAAAAATGGAATTATTGAGCTAGAAAGTCAGTATCACTTGCGGTCCAGAGAAAAGAATTGTAAAAATAAGAACCAGGAAAATAAAAAATGGGTCGCCAAATCGTAGCCAGACACTCGTTACATTTGCCCTCCCGAGGTAAAGAGAGGGAAGAGCAAGTGCAGGAAAGATGACAACACTCCCAGGCATCAAACAAAGGGACCCTCTGACCAAATCTAAGGCGTTGACAAGACACTGGGAAGGGAATGAAGTTCCCACAAGGCCTCTGTGTTGTCACTGTGGGGCTCGAGCCACCGCAACGGCCTTGTCTCCCACCTGAAGGCAGGACATTGGCCATTGGGGCCTGAAATCCTCACATTTCTGTTGTCAGTTTTATTCAGGAGAATTATTCATTATTCAGCAAGCACGTAATGACGGTCTCTGTGAGCTGGCACTGCAGGGCACAGGGGCACACAGTGTCTGGGTCCTGGCCCTTGGGCAGTGTGACCTTCAGTGGGGTCCGGAGTCAGGGAGGCCGCCATCTGCCTGCCTTTTGTCGCCAGCGGGTTCAAAGGAACAACGTGGGCAGCAGTCCTGGTGGCAGTAAGCACAGGCACTCCGCATGCCCAGTGTGCCAGGCACTTTCCATTTTTCATCCATTTGCTACTCAACCGCGTGAGGTTGGTATTGTTGAACCCATTTTGCAGGTGAGGACACAAAAGTGTAGAGAGATTAAAAACTCACCTGTGATCACACAGCATTGGCAGAATACCCAACCCCCAGAGTTTGTATTCTTAACTACTACACAAGAAGCCCAACGCCTGGCCTATGGATGTAATACCAACATTTCATGAAGGCTGTGTGTGCACACACGTGTGTGAAAGTGTGCATGGGTGCCACTCCGTTGAGACGATGGTGCTTTAGTTCATTTGTTCCCAGAACGACCCTGCGAGTTAGCATGGGCATCTCCGCTTTCTGTCAGTGACCAGTTCCTGCGGATCACCTGTTCTGCATTTAAGAAAAGCTGACTGTTCGTCTACTTCCTTTTGTTTTAAATAGGAAAATATTACAGCGCACTACACTTCAATCACGAACACCGAATTAATTTCCTCAAAATAATTAAAGCTCGGTGAAAAGCCTATGTTATAAAAAAGCAACCGCATCAGGATATAAATGCTTAGAACATAGCTTCCCGATCATCCAACAATTATCTCATCGTTACCGAACAATTGTTTCGAGTTCAGTAACCCCGCGACTGCTCATGCAGGGCCAGAAGGCTCCCAGGTGGACATGCCACAAAACCTCCACCCTGGCTCTGATGTCCAGACAGTTGTGTTTTGAATATAACATGAGACTTTGTCCACACATCATTTTCTTTCTTTCTTTCTTTTCTTTCTTTCTTTCTTCTTTCTCTCTTTCTTTCTTTCTTCTTTCTTTCTTTCTTTCTTTCTTTCTTTCTTTCTTTCTTCCTTCCTTCTTCCTTCCTTCCTCCTTCCTTCCTTCCTTCCTTCTCTTCTCTCTCTCTCTCTCTCTCTCTCTCTCTCTCTCTCTCTCTCTCTCTTTCTCTTTCTCTTTCTCTCTTTCTTTCTTTCATCTTCACCAAAGGATATTTTCCTATTTATCTCCAGATAGAGTGGGAGGAAGGGAGGGAGAGAGAAACATCGACGTGAGAGGGACACATCAACTGGTTGCTCCTGCACGATCCCCACCAGGACGAACCGCAACCGAGGTACGTGCCCTTGACTGGAATCGAACCCACGACTCATTGGTCCACAAGCCGATGCTCTGACCAGTGAGCCAAACCAGCCAAGGAACACACATCATTTTCTTAAAATCCTATTGAGTTTTGCAATTGTAAATGTAAATTATATATATGAATATGACCTATATTATAGATACTATATATTTATAAACACGTTTATATTTATATAAACATCAGCCAAAAACATTGATCACAGTTTGGGTGTTCTGCTGGGACAATGTGAAGGAGAACACTTCCAGTGAAGACCCCTTCACTGCCAGCTCATTTCACAGATGAGAATACTGAGGATTATCTAGAAGCAACGGAGCAGGGATTTGTACTCCAAACGTCTCTGACTTCAGAGCCTTCAGCCTCAACCGTGTGTGTTTGTGTATGTGTGTATTTACATTTTCAATTACATTTGACATAGAATATTATATTAACTTCAGGTGAACAACCCTGTAATTAGACATTTGTATAATGTATGAGGCGATCACTCTGATAAATCTAGTACCTATCTGACACCATATGTAGTAATTACAATATAATTGACCATATTTCCTAGGTTGTACTTTACATCCATGACTATCCTGTAACTACCAATTTGTACTTCTAAATTCCTTCACCCATCCTCCCAAGCCCCCATCCCTCTCTGGCAAAACGTTTTCTGTATCGACGAGTCTCTTTCTGTTCTGCGTATTCACTTATTTATTTATTTTTATTCAGATTCCACATGAGTAAAATTGTCTGGCAGTTGTCTGTCTTATTTCACTTCCCATAGTACTCTCTAGGTCCATCCATGTTATTGCAGATGGCAAGGTTTCATTCTTTTCTGTGGCTGAATCATATTCCACTGTATATATGCACCACTTCTTCTTTATCCATTCGTCTGTTGATGGACACTTAAGCTGCTTCCATAGTTTGGCTATTGTAAACTCTGTCATCCTCATTTTAGTGTCACAATGGCTTCCCTCGAATGCTAGCACTGTTTCTTTTATTTACTATTACTGCTATGATTATTAACTAACACTTGCTTAGCATTCATGATATTTCAGGCGCTGTGCTAACCACTCCACATGTATAATTTAGCTACTTCTGACATCAACCTCTGATAGGAAACCTATATTATCCTCGACATACAAATTAAAATAACTGAGACTTAGAGAGGTTTGGGAACTTGCCCACTGGATATAACTTGCTTAGATAATTTAATCAACCACACGCCTTCACCAAGTGCCGACTCCATAGCCCTTCACGTGCCCGGTTATCTAGTGCTGTCTTACTGGACAAGGAACTTCATAATAGTAGGATTAGGCTCATGGCTTTGGTTCAAAGGCATGACGTATTTTACTAGTCCATATTTCAATTTTGTTTCTCTAATAAAACCGCGCAATTGTATCATGACCTTTGTCTCACCCTAAATAATATGGTGTAACTTATATTTTATACTTTTATTTAGATATACATATGTGTTTGTTGTTAAGTTCAAGTAAGTCTGAGGTCAGAGACCCGGTGACTGATGTTGTCTCAGCAAGTAGAATTCTTATGATGCAGAAAGGGTTGCCGATCAAGCCAACACAACTGCTCGAGGAATTATAGTTCATAGAGTTCCTTGGCAGATGAAATCAACTGGACTAATTAGAAGATAATGCCTTATGCTGTGCCTAGAGAAGTCACAGAGCATCACGGAGTGGTGATCTGAGTCCCTGCGGGCTACCAGTCACAATAAAGTCCATGCCTTGCATTTGTTACCTTTTGTTTTCTTTTCCCCTTATCCCTACAGCCCAGAAATTGAAACAGACCCTGGAGCCTTGTGATACTGAATATCCAGCATTTGTCTCTGAACGCACCATCAAGGAAACCTCAGGGAACATTGCTTGCGAAGACTGTTCCAAGTAAGCCCTGCCTCTCTGCTCAGTGAGCACTTCCCCAGCTGGGCCCGAGTGGCACGTGCGTGGGACCCGGGAGAGACGGAGGAGCCACGGCAGCCCTCTTGTGTGAGGAAGGATTGCTATGGGCTCAGGGGAAACGTCGCTTGGCCTTGTTAGAGAGATCGGCAGGGCTTGGGAAGCATTCAGAATGCATCAGGATGCACCCTGGGACAGGGGAGATGGTTAGTTTTGTTTGTTAGTGGTTGGAAGATATCCTAATTGGTGTTTCCCCAACTGAAAGTGAGCAATTTAGCTAGCTACCTATTCCCCGCGTCTTTCCTGAAAGCACCAAATCTTCAGATTCCCTGAAGTCTGATGTATTGAAAATGGTTGTTTAATATTCGTTTCCCTGATTATTCTTGCGGGTGGGCCTTTCTAAAAACAAACAAAAGAACAAAACAATTTTATAGGTCATTTGGGGTTCCTGACCTTTTTATTCCTGTGTTCCTGTTGGCAGCTAGCTCTCTGTTGGGTGGTGGATCTATTCATACTGATTCGAGTGTTCTTTCTATGTTTTGGATACAATATTTTTGCAGTTATGATTTGTATATGTGTCTGCCTGTTCCTGGGTCTCTCTCTTCACGCTTATGGATGTCCTTGGATGCACAGAAATTTTCTTTCACTTTGATTTTAATGTAGTCTAATTTATTCTTTCTCTTATGATTTGTGCATTTTGTACCTTGCTTAAGAGATGAGTCTCTGCCCTGGTGTTATAATGATATTCTCGTGTGTTTTTATTCTGACTGCTTTAAAGGACTGCCTTTCGCATTTAGGACTTTAATCCCCCTGGAATGGGGGGGAGGGGCACAAGATAGAGAGTTCACTTTGGTTCTTTTCTATACAGCTGGCTTATTTATTTATTTATTTATTTATTTATTTATTTATTTATTTATTTATATTTTTGTTAATCCTCACCCAAGTGTATTTTCCATTGATTATTAGAGAGAGTGGAAAGGAGAGAGGAAGAGAGAGAGAAAGAAACATCGATGTGAGAGAGACACATTAATTGGTTGCCTGGACTGGGACCAGGGATTGAACCTGCAACCCAGGTGTGTGCCCTTGATGGTAATCAAACCCGCAACCCTTTGGTCCACAGGCTGACACACTAACCGCTGAGCCAAACCGGCCAGGGGCTATCTAGTTGGCTTTTTAAGCAGCACTTTTTATTGAATACTCTTTATTTTCCAATAGATTGATCGTAATACCTGTGTCATGGGCTGAGTTCCCATCTCTAAGTAGATCTATTTCCAGGTTCGATGTTCCGTCGGTACCCTGTCTCTGTCATCACTCTGGCTTTACCATATAACTTGTTATTGAGAACACATCCTTTCATTCTTCTTCTAAGTCATCTTGGCTGTTCTTGCCTCTTCACTCTTCCATATTAATTTTGAATCAGCTTGTTAATGCCCATGACTTATGCTAGAGTTTTGATTAAAATTGCTGTAAGTTATATATAATTTGAAAATAATTGCTGTCTTTTATGGTATTGGACCTTTCCCCTTATAAACTAAGTATATCTATTTATTTCCATATGCCTTTCAATACAGTTTTATAATTTTATGTTAGATTTATACTTAGACAGCTTATAGTTTTTCTTGCTAGCATAAATGTTATGTATTTAAAACTACTTTTCTAATTGGTAATTGCTAGCATATGAGAACATCACTGATTTCTGTACATTGAATATCTTATATCCAACAAATTACTAAATGTTCTTTCAAATCTGATCATTTGTGTATAGATTCTCTTGGGCTTTGGGCATAGAGAGTGGTATCACTTGTGAAAATTTTTCTTTCTAATCTTTGTACTTAATTATTGTTTTGTGTTTTATTACCCTGGACTTCTAATATGTAGTTGAATAGAAACAATGAGAGTAGGCGACCATGTCTTATTCCTAATTTAAAAGAATTGCTCTTAATAATTCCACATGAAAGATGATGTTTGCTCTAGGGTTTTTGAAGTTGTAGTAAAACATGAATAATATAAACTTGACCACTGTAACTATTTTTGAGTGTACAGTTCAAGCCCATTAAGTGATTCGCATTGTTGTGCAACCACAACTATTATCCATTTTCCAAATCGCTGAAGGCTTTCGGTACTTAGCTGTTTATTAAGTTAACAAAAACCTCTTCAAGAGAGTTCGGTGCTGCTGTTATTATTTGAAACATGAATGGATGTTGAATTTCAAAAAAAATTTCTACATACATTACTAAAAGAATTTTAATTTTTAATATGTTTAGTTACATGGATATAATTTAAATTTTTTTCCATCATGAAACATATATACCATGTCTTTAATAGTAGCTGAGTTGACTAACATGAAAAACATAGTTGCTTTCTCACAATGGACTTTCATTGCCAGGGTTACAAAAAACCAAAACGTTCTTGAGGATTAATTTGCTCACATTCGATTGTGAGCTTCTTCATTTGTGCTCAAAAAGGAGAGAGGCTGGCTCCCCTTTATTTTTCTGTCCTGTCACTGGCTTTGCTCTATTTGTTGTCACAAGATTATTTGGAGAATTTTCCCTCTTTCTCCAGTATCTTAACATTTTGTAAGACTAAATTATCGTTTTCTTGTAGGTTTATAAAACTATCAGTGACTGATGGGTTTTTGTTTGTTTGTTTTGTGTGAGTAAATTTTCAGCTACTAAATCAGTTTCTTTAGTGGTTAGCTATCTCTTTGGAATTTCTATTTCTTTTTTAAATGACTTGAGTGATGATATTTCTTAGAAAATTGCCCATTTCATCTCACTTTTCAAGGTTAGTGCATACATTTATTAATAGTATTTTTTTCTGATTTAAAGTGCTACCTTATTGGTGACTTTGTCCCCTTTTGAATGATCCCTCTCCCTCCCCTTTCCCCCCTCCCTCCTCTCCTCTGTCTCTTTCCCTGACTCAAGCTCCCATCCATGGTCCATGTGTCTTTTTCCCTCCATAGTGGCAGACATATATTTGTTTGTTTCTCTTTTCAAACAATAATCATTTAGTTTGTTTGAGTCTTTCTGTTGTTTCTTTTACTTCATATTTTATTTTGCTTCTTATCTCTATTATTACCTTTCTTCTGTGTTATGGGGTTTAATTCTGTTTTTTTCTTTCCTTAACATTTTGTGTCTGCTGCTTACCTTTTTCTTCTTCATTCATATATATATAAATATATATATGTATATATATACACACACACATATATATACACACATATATATACACAGGCACACACATACATACAAACATTTATATTATATTATATTATATTATATTATATTATATTATATTATATTCATATAAACGTTCTGTCTGCATTCCAGTTAATCTCCATAAATTTAATATATAGGGATTTTGTTATTATTTAACTCTAACAATTTTTAATTTTCACAATTTTTTTTACATACATTTTTAACTAGTGTTTTAAGATTTCCTAATATGCGGGGTTTGAGGCTTTTTGTTATTGCTGTCTAATTAATGACATTCTGGTCTGTGTAACATGATTTTTAGTATGTGTGGAGACTTGCTGTGTATTCTAGTACTTGTCCATGTATTTCTGAAAGCAAATTTCATTCTCTAATAGATAGGTACAGGGATTAATATATTAATATGTATCTATTGGCTCAAGTGTGTTATTGTGTTTCAAAGTTGTTGTTTTTAAGGGGTGTGTCTCTTATTTTTTACCTCATAATTTTTTTTCAACAGCAGTTTACATTTTCTATTATGAGGAGTGTCTGTTTAGATGACATTTCATCTCTTACCGGGCTTAGGGAGTTTTCAATGCCTTCGTGTCATTCAATGCACTTTGCTTTCCATATTTTGAAGCTATGTTACCATGGACACCTCTGTTCAGGATTGGTAGAGCTTTCTAATAAACCATCCTCTTTATCACTATGTAAAGCCTTCTCTATGAAAGTGCTTTGTGCCTTAATGACTGTTCCCTTTGCTAGTAGTGTAGGCATAGCAGTTCTTTTGGTAACTTTTCCGAGGCACATTCACCACCATTCCCTCCATTTTCAATTCTCATTGGTCGTTTTGCATTGGAATTAGTCTTATAAATAGACCATAGCTGGATCTGAAATACCTCTGTCTGTTATCACTAGATTTAAGTTTGCATTTATTTCTATTTTCATTTTATATGTCCTCTATTCTGCATTCTTTTACTTTGCTTTCTTTCTTCTTCTTTTTTTTTTCACCTTCTATCCAATTTATTGGGTTTATTTCTTTTCTCACCCTTACTAGTTTGTGAAGTATGCACTTTTCTTTTAGGAGTCACCTTAACTTTTAAAATATGTTTTAATTGGTCAGGATTACTTTTCTCCTCCAGGACAAAAACCTAGAACTCTCTAATTTAGATCACTAATCTCTCATCTCCTTCACGTACTATTTTTTAACACTTTAGTTGTACTGTGTTTTTGAACCCACTATATATTCTGTTATTGTTTTTCTGCCTATAGTATATAAAATATTTACCAATTTGTTTACTGACAATTGCTTTTTTGTGTGTTTTTAACCATTGCTTTTTTGTTTTACAGTATTTTGGAAGTTTTTTCAGGAATGATCTGGGAGTAGTAAATTCTCACATTCTTTGTCTAAAACACTTGATTTCATAGGTACTCTGCAGGGATACTTTACCTTCATACTATCTAAATAAAAATGTTTTAAAGATACTATTCCATTGTCTTCTGCCTTTTAGCTTTGCACCTTTAAAAGTAGTCTGGGTCTCTCCCTTTCTCGTGGCTTTTAAAGTGTTTACTCCCTCTTTAACGTTCTGAAGTTTCACTGAAGTATGTCTGGCTATAAATTTATTTCTGTTTGTTTAGCTACTTTATTCTGGGTGATTTCCTTCAACTTATCTTAGAGTTCATTCATTTCCTTTTGGTTGTGTCTAGTCTGCTGCTTAGAGAATACACTGAGTTTTTAATATGGTGTCTTTCCTTTTACTTCTAGAAGGTTTATTTGCTTCTTTTAAACATCTGTGT